ACTGCTTAACAAAAAGGAATTAATTTTAGTAGCGGACCGTGAATGTGACCGTTATTTCTGTGCAAAGTTACAGGTGCTAAAAGTAAGTATATTTGTATATTATAGGTGTGTAATCAGGACTGGGGTGGGAGGAGCTGGATGAGGGAGAGATGACCGCCTTTTGATGAGTACTATACGCCAGGGTGCGGGCACAGGCAGGCCAGCCATCGGCGAGCCTTTTTATTAAACAGGCAGTCCTCCAACGACCCATTTTACAGATGAGAACACAGAAACGAAAAGTGGTTAAGTAATTTACCCAAAGCTCTGAAACCAGAATGCAAAATCGTGACTGTTGGAATCTCAGTGTCCTCTCTGTTGTACCTGCTGCCTATCGATCTCTGTCCCCAAGGAAAAGCAGGTGGGACTCCCAGCCACTGCTCCTCAAAGCCCACTCGCTTCCTCTCCCTTCCACGTGGGGGTGAGGGCTATGTCAGCACAGAGCAACAAGTCTTTGTTAACATTTCCTTTTGAGATTATTATAGATTCAATGCAGGGTAAGAACTGATACAGAGAGCTCTTGTATCCTTTCAACATGTATATTTATAATCTGCTACATACTGACACTCTCCTTGGTGCTGGGGTCACAAAGACAAGATGGCCTTTGCTCTTGAAGACTTTAGAGGCCAGCGGGGAACATATAAAAAAATAATATCGAGTTGGTTAAGACAAAAATGTAATGCCATTTCCACCTGCCAATTAGCAAGCAACAATAATAGTGATGATATTCTAGCTAAGCTGCTGTGAAAGAGGCCCTCCCGTATTTTATTGGTGAAAGTGTGAACGGAGGCAAATAGGAAAGCGAGTTGGCAATATGCATGAAATATTGTCATCTCTCGGCTAATATTTTTTGAGTGAGTGCCTGCTATATGCCAGGCACTGGACTAGACCCATGGGGGAAACGCTGAACAAAGCAGACACTGCCCAGCCCTTCTGAGACTTACACAGGCGCGTCTGGTTTACAGGCAGACAAGTGTGTGAGAAGTGCTATGAGAGGCAAAGTGGAGGCGTTACAGAAGCACTTGTGAGGGGAGCTGAGTTCAGCCTTGGGTGGTTAGGGAAGGCTCTCCTAGAGGAGAGGATGGAGGAGGGCACTCCAGTTATTAAATGATGAAGAGGAGTTAGAGGAAGAGGAGACAGGCTGGCGTGGAGAAAGTACCCTAAATAGCATGAGCAGCAAGCTCACAGGAAGGATGAGCATCAAAGGAGAATAGCCTAGAAAATCTGGCAAAACTATCTCAAGGAATAACCCAGAATACAAAATAACAAGCCAACCTTTCCAACGTGAAGATTTTCACTACATCGTTACTCATAATAGTGGAATATTATAGTCTATTTCAATAAAAGAGATCTGGTAAAGTTATTGATGGTACATCCACAATATAGAATATTTTGTAACCATTTAAAATAATGCTTGCAAAGTGTTTTTTAATATTAAAATGCTTATGTTAAAGTGTTAAATGAGAAAGGCAGGATACATAATTTCATATCCTAAATGACCACAAGCATATTAAGTGTGTGTGTGTGTGTGTGTGTGTGTGTGTGTGTGATTAAATGGAAGGAGGCAGGTTAAAATATGAATAGGATTGTCTTTGGACAGTGAGATTAGATTATAGCTGGTTTTTGTGTATATGCTGTTTATAGCATGATGGTTAGTCTGGAGCAAAACCCAGTTCATTCATTTACTTTTTGTGTAACCTTGGGCAAGTTACTTCACTTCTGTGTCTCAGTTCCTCATCTGTGAAATAGGAATAATCATAGCACCTACATGATAGGTTGTTGTAAGCATTATCACAGTACAGTATGTGGGCAGGCTACTATTATCATTATATCAACTATTAGCATTCTGCTCTCTATTTTTAAAATTTTCCTATAATGTACTTATATAACTATTAAAATGAAAAACATTTTATAACACTCTGTTAAATAAGGGACTTGTGTTGTAAGTTAGTAGTATGTGTTTTCAAGGAGACACTGGGAAGGGACAGCTTACCCATCTCGGGGAAAGAAAGATGTCAGAGAAGGATCGCTGAGAGAGGAAGATGCTGTCTCAGCTGACTTTCAAGAACAAGGACTTAAGAGAAGAGCAGGAGGGAATTCAAGACAAATGGAACATTAAGCAAAAACTTAGAATCTTAGCGATACAAGCCAGAAAGGGCTTAAAGTTCATCCAGGCCACTTCCCACCTGTGCAGGTTTCCCTCTACAGCAGTCCTACGGAGTCTTAACTGCATTCAGAGAGGCGCTCACCACTGTATGAACAAACCCAGCCATGGCTGGGCAGTTCTTTGTCACAAAGTGTTTCCCTATAGGTACACAGTCAGCACTCATCTACCATTGCACTGACGTACAGACACACCAGAGCAAAACCTAAGCAACAAGTCCACGCCAACAGACGCCTGTGGGCTGTCAGAGTCACCCTGGCATGGTCATCAAAGCAATATTCCCCACTCAACTGCACGGTCCTGGTGCTTGAGCATGGCTTTGAGATGCCCGACAGACATTACTCACGCCATTGTTTTCAAGTGCAAAAGGCACAGGAGTGTTGAAAGTTTAGGTACAAAGTATTATATGATTGCAATGGAAAGAGAGAACATTGAAAATATGAAAATAATGATACTTTTCCTTTTTATAATAGTACTAGAGGCCCAAAGCACAAAATTAGTGCAAGGGGCTCGGCCCTCGCAGCCCCAGCTTCGTCAGGAAGGTCGTCCGGATGGTTGTTCTGCCATTTGGTCTAATTAGCATATTAGCTCTTTATTATATAGGATAATTGATTCTGAAGAAAATAGTGAATTTATGTAATATATAAAAACAGTTGTGACAGCAGTTGGCACAATGTAAAGAAGAGATGGAATTGGAAAATCTGTTAAGTATGTGGCTAGAGAAACATCAGTATTGTGTGCCCACAGGAGAACACTGGAAATACACCGAGGAACTGGGAGGCCAGTCCTGGCGAGAGGGTTTATTTGAAGCCTGTAGGTCTGAGCCCTATTGGAAGCTAAACAACAGCAGCAGATGTTATACTAGCAGGTACAGACCCTGTGGCAACTGTCACCTCCCCAACACCTTTGAAGTCTAGTTAAAACTGAACTACATGATAAAGAGCACTACAGATCAGCGAGGAGAGAACAGGTTATTCAATTAATGTGTTGAGCCTTCTGGATTAAAAAAAAAAAGCTGAAAAATAAAGTTGGGTCTCTATTTCACTCTTTACATCAAAATTAATTCCTGATAGATCAAATCTTTAACTGTGAAAAATGAAACCATAAGAAGAAATTTTTTAAAGAATTACAGAGGTGAAAACACTTCTAGCATGACATACACCCAGAAATCATAAAAAACTCAGAAAAATATATTTGTAGTTCCTATCACAGGCAAAAGGTCTGTTTTCATGATATATAAAGCTCTCCTACAAATCAATAAGAAAATACCAACAACTCAATGGGAAGTAGAAAAAGAAATACAACAGCTTTTAATCACACGAAACGATGTTCAAATGCATTCATAAGAGAAACATTAAATTAGCCCACACATTTTTCACCTATGAAATAGGTAGGAGGGGCTCATGAAAAGTGATAATACACTCTCAGATACTGATGGTGAGTTGTAAATTGGTAAACTTTTATGACGGAAACTTGGCATTACCAGTCAATATTACACATGTGAGGTTTTTAGCAATTCCACCTCCAACAATTTATCCTTCATATATCTTAATATGTATGAAGTAATGTATGTATAAGGTTATTCATTGAGCCACTGTTTATGAGAGCAAAGGTAGAATGTCTATCACTATCAGACTACCAAGTAGATATTTTCAAAATGAGGCAGATATTTATGTTCAGATATAAAACACCTCCAAGACATACGGTTAATTGGAAAGAGCAAAGTGTATTGCACACGATGATTTGTGTTAACAATAGAGAGCTATTCAGGTGATAGATGGAGATAGGTTTTTGCTTGTATGTGTTCAGAAGATTTCTGGAAGGCTAACCAGAAAATACTAACAGTGGTTGCCTCCTCAGAGGCCCACTTGATAGCTGTAAGTTCAGGTTGAGATAAATTTTTTTTACCATAATGCACCTTTGTACCTTTTGTACCACATGTATCAGCTAACCAAAATAAATTGAATTTAAAAACAAATTCCCTGCTCAAAGCAAATCCCTTGCTCTTCTCTGATACCCCTATCCTTTTTCTTGCTTTCTTATTGTGATTGCAGATTTAGATCGCCTATAAAACCATGAGCAACATTGGATTCCCATCTCTGGCATCCAGCACAGTGCCTTACATACAACAAGAGACTTAGAAGAAAAAAGAAAAGTGATGTCTTGAAGAGTGATGGAGACCTTTTTCTTGGAAAGAAGTCCAGGCCACCGTCATATATGGCCTAATACAGCAGCGAGCAGGGCTGCAAGGCCCCAAGAACATCTACCCACCAGTCCTGGGGTTCTACCTTTAAGAGAAGGGAGGGTAAGAAAGAGACAGAGACAAAAAGAGTTCAAAACAGAAACTGAGCTATGTTCTATAGCTAATTCAGCTGGTTTCATCTCAGCATAGGTACACCCAGCACTCCCTAAGGGAAGGCCTAACGGGTGGCCCACATTTTTATCAGCAATCATCTCTGCCACTTTCTGGTCATCTACAGATTTAAGTCCACATAATCATCCCCCACGTGACAGAGTGGAGGGAGACGGGGAGGAAACAGACTAAGAGGATCCAAATCCCTTCTAAGACTTGCTTCTCCCTTCTCAGCAAGATTAGAGCAGTCAACAGCCGTCTGCCTATGTGTTCAGACCCAGCAGCCTGGGCCGCGCTGCCCAGTGCCGAAGGGCAGTGTCTGGGACCCTGGTCTGTGGTCCGAAGTGTAGGGCATACGATCCATCCGCCTCGTGGCAGTGAGCAAGCTGGGGACCCTACCACAGCCACAGCCAGGACGGAAAGGCCAGGGACCCGCTTCCCGCAGCCATGCTGAAAAACAGTGAGAGGAGGCGGTCTTGGAGCTACCGGCCCTGGAATACCGCGGAGGGTACCGATGAACCCACTTCAGGGAACAGCCAACACCGCGGGAGCATCTGCTCTCTGGCGGCGCGTTCTGGCTCCCAGGCCAGCATCCCACCGTGGACCGAGGGCAACTATAACTACTACATCGAGGAGGACGAGGATGGGGAGGAGGAGGAGCAGTGGAAAGACGACTTGGCCAACGTGGCCGAGGAAGACCAGCAGCCAGAGGAGGCCGCCCAGACGGAAGCCCGCACCGAGGGCTCCACGCTGAACGTGAACGTGGGCGGCCAGAGCTACCACCTGGACTGCGCGCAGCTGGCCTGCTACCCCAAGACGCGCCTGGGCCGCCTGGCCGCCTGCACCAGCCGCGGCCGCCAGCTGGGCCTGTGCGACGACTACGAGGCGCAGACGGACGAGTACTTCTTCGATCGCGACCCGGCCGTCTTCCAGCTGGTCTACAACTTCTACCTGTGCGGGGCGCTGCAGGTGTGCGACGCGCTCTGCCCGCGCCGCTTCCTGGAGGAGCTGGGCTACTGGGGCGTGCGGCTCAAGTACACGCCGCGCTGCTGCCGCATCTGCTTCGAGGAGCGGCGAGACGAGCTGAGCGAGCAGCTCAAGATCCAGCGCGAGCTGCGCGCCCAGGCGCGGGCCGAGGAGGCCGAGCAGCTCTTCCGCGACGTGCGCTTCTGCGGGCCGCAGCGCCAGCGCCTCTGGAACCTCATGGAGAAGCCCTTCTCGTCCGTGGCCGCCAAGGCCATCGGGGTGGCCTCCAGCCTCTTCGTGCTCGTCTCCATCGTGGCGCTGGCCCTCAACACGGTGGAGGAGATGCACCAGCGGGCGGAGGGCGGCCGCTGGGCGGTGCTGGAGCACGTGGAGGTGCTGTGCATCGCCTTCTTCACGCTCGAGTTCCTGCTGCGCCTGGCCTCCACGCCCGACCTGCGCCGCTTCGCGCGCAGCGCCCTCAACCTGGTGGACCTGGTGGCCATCCTGCCGCTCTACCTGCAGCTGCTGCTCGAGTGCTTCACGGACGAGGACCAGCGGCGCGGCCAGGGCTCCTCCCGGGAGCACGACCTGGAGACGGTGGGCAAGGTGGGCCAGGTGCTGCGCGTCATGCGCCTCATGCGCATCTTCCGCATCCTCAAGCTGGCGCGGCACTCCACCGGCCTGCGCGCCTTTGGCTTCACCCTGCGCCAGTGCTACCAGCAGGTGGGCTGCCTGCTGCTCTTCATCGCCATGGGCATCTTCTCCTTCTCCGCTGCCGTCTACTCCGTGGAGCACGACGTGCCCGGCACCAACTTCACCAGCATCCCGCACTCCTGGTGGTGGGCCGCGGTGAGTGCCATGGCCGTGGGCTTTCCTGCTCTCCTCACCGCCCTCCCATTCCCGGGTGCTCAGCTGTCTGTCTTCATCCCCTGATCGCCCCCTTGCCTTGCAAAAGGACCACCCCATGGCTGCCTCCAGCTAACGAAAACCAGAGAGGGTTGTGGAGGGTTGGAAAGACAGACACTGTAGTCCAGTAAGTAACGATTTGACTTGGCCCTAAGAATCTCCCAATCTAGAGTTAGCTTTAAAACCCTTGCCAGGCAGATTTTAAGAATTCGTTGTTGACATCTGTGGGAAGCTGCCTGATCACCATTCTTGTTGCCCCTCATTGAACATCTGTTATCCTAAGTAGTTGATAACTTTATCTTCACCCAAGGTGGTGGTTTTGATCACTATTTCTATTTAAAACAGGACAAATTGGAAGTGGTTTCCGTTTTTTTGTTGTTCTGATTGCTGTGTGTGTGTGTGTGTGTGTGTGTGTGTGTTGTTGTTGTTGTTGTTGTTGTTTTGTAAGGAAACTGTATGTTTATTCCGGAGAGGAAGTGAGACTTGGCTGAACACTGTCACCTTAACTGAAATCCCATTGGTTCTAGCTAAACTGAGTGGGTAATGGAGCATCTAAACCTGAAACTTGCTCCAATGTCACGGAAACTCTTTCAGGACCTGGAATTATTGCCTCATTTTATAGAGAGAAGAACTGAGGTGCAGAGAGTTTGAGTGCAGACACACAGCTAAATCCAGAGAGAGGACTGAGGCCCAAGCCAGTACAAGCGCAAAACCCACGCCCCTTCCAGACCCAGCACCGCCTCTTCCATGCATTAGCTCGTCTGCAGGCCTTAAACAGTGAATACACTAGTTATTTTTGTCACTTCTTTCTGTAGTAGTTGCCTTTTCGTAACAATGTATGCCATCTACTCCCATACCTGCATTTCTGGGATGCTAGACTAAATCCCTGAAAAATCCCTTTAGTCCTGGAAATGCTGACTGTGTCTTCTCAGGTCAATGAGTAAGCTGGCATGTGTGCATACGAAGAACTAGGTAAATTATATGGCTTCCATATTTTCTTTTTGTTGTTGTTGTTGACACTATTACAGATGCCTCCCATTTTCCCCCCTTTGCCCACCTACACCTAGCCCCGCCACCCCACCCAATGACTTCACCAAACTGTTGTCTGTGTCCATGGGCTCTGCATATATGTTCTTTAGCTACTCTCTTCGCCTTCTTTTATCCAGACCCTTCTACTCTCCTCTCCTATGACACCTGTCAGTCTGTTCCATATATGTTCTTAAGGAGATTATTATAATGCCTGTAAAGACCTTAAGCAAATATAACCGGTTTTTCTAGAAAGCGGCATTTTCAACATTAACATTGGGTATGTCAGAACCCAAAGTCTTGGGTGAACTTCTGAGATGAACCAACCTGGGGCTACTAACCATGCAGCTTGGTAGGATGGAAGGAAGATTTCTATTTCAATCTTGCATCAGATCTGGTAATAATTACCTGTGACCCTAAATAATGAGCTGTGAAACCTCACTCCCTCACTCCCACCCGCAGTGTCCTCGGCTCTACAAGGGGAGGATGGAGAGCTCAAATGTCCTACAGCTTGAGAGCTCTCTTCAGTGAAGGGGTGACGTTAGGCTCTTCCAAACAAGCTACCCAAATGCCACTCCTCTGATCATATTCCAAATGACAAAAGGTCATCTCCATGGTAGGTAAACTGTAAGTACAGATGGAGCTGATAGAGAGTGATTTTTCCCCAGCAAATGACATTTACTTTGGAGGTGAGTAAGGTAGGCAGGGAAAAGAGCAAATCCACATGCTGATGATATAATTCCACATTTTAGAGAGCCAACTTCTCATTCATTCAGCTATCCTAGAAGACTCGCATATATAGGCTGGACCTAGTGGACGCATTAATATTTTAATTTTAACCCACAAAACTTTTTTTTTTACCTTTTGTATATTAACAGAAAGATTTTTATAAAATTTTTCTCGCCAATACTGGATTTTCCTTTTTTAAAAATTCCCTGAAGTGAATGCCCTTTGACTCCATTTAATTTCTTGATTGGCTTAATATACAATGATGTTTAAAACTTGCAAATGATCCCCTTTTATGTTAGCTGAAATTATTTTACTCAAGACCAGTATTTTCCATAAATTGAACAATAAAAATTGAATCAACATCCAGGTTTTATCTACAATAAATTTTACCAATGATTGCTTTTACCAATATGAGTTTTCTCTTGTAGCCTTGATCTCTAGCAGGCGCTATTTTCACAAACCAAAATTTGTACATTTCAACCTTACCGTTTCCCGACCTTAGGCTTTATCAATGGCCTTTGTTCATTTTATTCTCTGAGAATTATTTATACTAGTAAGAATCATTATGAATTAGATAAAAGACTGATAACTTGTATTTATTTCTAAACTATCTATAAGAGCAATTGCCCTTGAACATTCAAGCGCTGCTCTATTCCCCAGGACTAATGTCTTATTAACCCAGTTCTTAATACTTCTGCTAACATTGCATATTGTGTACTAAGGGTTTGTATTCTCCGTAGAGCAAAGAGAAAGGAACACTGTCAAAATGATGCAGACAGAATGTCTTATTTCCTTATATGGAAACAAAGTAAAAAGATGAAAAATATTAGGACCAATTCCTCAGGTTAACCCACAAAAATCCATCTCATTCATTCACTGAGCAAGAATTTTTTAGCACCTCCAGTGTGCCAAGCAGTATTCTAAACACTAGAGATACCAAGTGATAGAAAGAAGAGAAAATGAAGTTCTTCCACTTGTAGAGTGTATATTCTAATGGAGAAAATTTTCAGATATTTGTATGTCTTGTATAGAATAATAGGATTGAGTCAACAATAAAAAAATAAATTTTAAAAAGATGAAGGAAAAAAAATAATAGGATCGAGAGTGACTTGGGTGGCAAAATCTACATCTGATGGATGGCCAGAGATGCCCTCTTAAAGAGAACATTTAGGTAAAATTTGAACCATGAGAAAAAAACTCATATAAATATATATAACTAAACAAATGTGAGAATCCAAGAAGTGGAATCCTAGAAGTAACTTTAATTGAATAGCCTCCAAGCATTGTATTGATCATACATCTCATAATTTAACATTTTTTAGCACACTCCCATGATCAGTGTGTGTTTAGTTATTCATAAATTTTAAGCCATTTATTATCACAATAATATTGCTTCACAAACCACCCCAAAACTCAATGGCTTAAAATGCCAAGCATATATTTAGCTAATGAGTTTGGGAGTCATCAATTTACGCTGGTTTCAACTAGAAGGTTCTTCTCATTTGGCCTCATATCTGATAGTCAGCTGGCTAAAAGCTGGAGTGAAGGAGGAGACTAGGCTAGATAGCTTTCATTCTTCAGCAGACATGTATCCATGGCAAAAGATGAGAGAGAGAGAGAGAGAGAGAGAGAGAGAGAGAGAGAGAGAGAGAGAGGGAGAGAGACTGACTCTCTAATCATTGCAAGCACTGTATAAGCTTCTCTTTAATGTCATTTGCTCAACCCATTGGCCAAAGCAAGTCACAAGACCACACTCAGAGTCAAAGGGCAGGGTAGGTTAACCTACCCACTGTAGGAAAGCCCTATAAAGTTATAGGCAAATAGCTTGGATAAAGGAAGATATAAAGAATTAGTTTCAGAAGCACAATCATTCTACTGCAGTAAGATATTCCTGCTCAAATATATTATACACATCAGAAAACATACACTCACACTGAAATTTCAAGGATGAGGTAAAGAATGATAGGACTGATATTTTCTTCCACCGTTCCAGTGCTATATCCCTTGCAGTATATTCACCCACATTAGATTCTCTAATCCATTCTTCTGTGCTTTTAGTGCTTCCAGTCAACCCCAAATATGAATTACTTTTAATAATCGTCCCTCTCCCTCTGCCAAGGACCTTCCTCTGCTCAACTCAGGGTTTTAAGAGAACACAATAATTTTCATTGCTGTGAATTCTCCTACAGCTGCAAAACAAATCCCACAAGGACACTCATGTCTGCAAACACTCGTGCATTTGGATATAAAATAGACCCGTCCCACTCAGCTGTCAAATAGCAGTTATTTGTGAGCGCTAATGTAATAGGAAACATATGTAAGATGCTAGCCTGTAGTACATCCACAATAAATAGAAGCTACCATGTTTGACTAGTTAATAGTCTTTATCACATGGAAGCAATAACCTTTGCTTCCGGATTCATTTGGGGAGAAATAAAACAGAAGTGATTCCTTCTCTACTGGGGAGAGAGACTGTGGGACATACAAAAGGGTCAGCTGTCCTATCCCGGCACAGCTTCTGGGTGTTTAGATGAAGAGGCCCAGGCTTGCTGAGCTCTCAGGGTTGCCTGGTGTGGGAAATGCATGGCACAGCCCAGCAAGAACAATTAGCTCGATGATGAAGCTGTAATCATCGGCCTCCAGTGTGGCTATGTTTTCACGTAGAAAAGGGCAAATGGGCCGTTCAACAAACCATTTCCTTCTGAGCTTTCAGAGCAAGTTAAAACTGTGGAAACCAAACAGGAAACTGTGTCATGAACTCATTCCTCCAGGAACCAACAGAGGCTCTTCAAAAAGAAAATGTACCTCTGGCCGAGGCATCTGATAATTGAGCCCCAGAGACCTTGCTCCTCTCTTTGGTTTCCTAAAGTATGATATCATTTCCTTGCAAATGGGTGTACTTATGAGATCATTCAGATTTGTTTTATTTTTTTAATCTTTGTTGATTTTGAGAGAGAGAGAGAGAGAGAGAGAGAGAGAGAGAAGAAGGAGGAGGAGGAGGAGGAGGAGGAGGAGGAGGAGGAGGAGGAGGAGGAAGAGAGAGAGAGAGAGAGAGAGAGAGAGAGAGAGAGGGAGAGAGAGAGAGAGAGAGAGACATCAATCTGTTGTTCCACTTATTTATGCATTCTTTGGTTGGTTCTTGTCTGGGGATCGAACTTGCAACCTTGGCATATTGGAATGACACTCTCACCAAATGAGCTACCCGGTCAGGCCACTATATATTCTGTATTGTTATTGATTGATTGCATGCATTGAGGAGAACCATTTGGAAGGTGAATCAGTGAAGTTATACTCAGGAGAACAGTGCGGGTATTTTAAACAGGAAATGTGATGCAGGGAAATAGATACATAGGTGCTAGAGGGCTAGAAGCAAAAAGGGTAAACTGAGATAACCCAAAGATTGGCAAATGTAGGAAATAGCTGTCAGCCCTAGAACTGGGGGGAACAAACAGGAGAAGGGAGAGTTACCAACCGCGGCGTACAGTGGAGCCTCTGAGCAGCTGTTGCAGGGACCCCTGAGGTAGCACCATGAGGTCGATGCCGACTGTGCTGAAAGGTCCCTGGGCCATAAATACCTGCTCTTACTGGAGGGTGACGCCAGGAGCAGAAGCAGCTAGAGAGACTCCCATCTCCTCATCGCACCTTCCGGCCTCCCAACGGCGTCTCTCATTGGCAGAACACAACCAGAAGACAGTGGGCAAGGAAATTCGGGGATTGTAGTTTGCAGACTCCCAATTGCAGAATTACAAAATACAGCTCAGAAGTGTGTCAGGCTTGGGACTGAGAGACAACAGGTAAATGGCCCAGCCAGCAATTCATGTTCTAGCTCCTTCAGCACTAGCGCAGGAGCTGTCAATGGACAAAGGCTACTAGGCACCTTTATGACTTTTGATCTTGTGGCTCCTGATTTGGGGGTGGTCCCCTTCTATCTCTTTAAACTATGCTCTTCCTGTTTGACCATTATGACTTGACTGGGACCTGACAGAATTGCAGAGGGCAGGGAGAAGTGCCAGGTCAGCCGAGGATGCAGAGGGCATCGGATTATTAGCACCTTCCTATGAGTATATTAATAGACTCCCAAGCTTGCTTTAGCTTTTGCACACCTCCTCCTTATTGTGCAATTTATGTACGTGTCAGACCTATAATATGTAGATGAGCTGGTTGTTCTCTTCCAGGTGGTCACCTATGATGTGATTCTAACAGCGCTTCCGCTGGTCAAAACTCTCTTTGAATTTCACTGAAGAACTATCTTCAGAGTCTGTGACATGTCCATTTGCTTCCTTCTAATCATGCTTAATCTTTACCTTTTTGAGAGTAGATTCAATATTTTAAAATAGTCTAGACCCCTGAGTTTAATATTGGCATCTAAAGTTAATCCTCAAGGTGAGGCATCAGATAACTGTGTCCTAATTGTGGCCCAGTAAGACCACTTGTTTCAAGGTCATTCCACTGAATCCTCTGTGCAGATTATAATCCTAAAGAGGAATTCCTAAAATATTTGTAGCAACAGCGGCATGGGTCGGCTAAGTATAGCCTTTGAAGCTAAGTCCTTTGAAGGACTGAGGTATGTAATGATTTTAGCCAGAACATCTTAGTCTTAAATTTTTTTGGAAAAATTAGAAGGAATGTTAATTATTTTTAAAAATCAGTTTTATTCCTTGGGATCATAATTTCAAGATTCATGGATTACTGGCTGCCAAGGTTTCATACATGCCTAGTTCATGATGAAAGAAACATTCCTTGTTGAAGGAAAAATTCAGGTATAGCCATTCTACAGTTTTGGAGAAAAATTGGATGCTTGTCCTCCCTGTAATGTTTAGCAGGCCAAGATTTGCTGATTAGTGGGTGAGCTGCTAGGGGAAAGTCACATTCTGGCTTTTGGGACCCAGAGGCTAGGGAAAATAGGTAAGTTTTCAATGGAATGGTAAGTTTCCAGTTTACAGAATGGCTGAGCCAGCCAGTTTTTCAGGATATTAAGATGGATTATAGAGCATACTACAAACTGGATGAAACTCAAAAACATTAGGCTGAGTGAAAGAAGCCAGATAAAATTTCCAGAAGAGGCAAATCTACAAAGAAGGCAAGTAGATTAGTGGTTACGTGGGACTGGAGATGGGAATTCAGAGTAGTGACAGATGGGAACAAGGGATGTTTTGAGGTGATGGAAATGTTCTAAAGATGGATTTTAGTGATGATTGCTCAACTCTGTAAATTCACTCAAAATCATTTAACTGTACCCTTGAAACAAGTGAATTTCATATTATGCAAATTATACCTCAATAAAGCTGCTGTTGTGTTGTGTGTTTTTTAAAAGATGGATTGTAGAAATTTTGGCCACATTTCCAAACCCAGTTGGTGCTAATGTGAGAACTCAATCTGGAAACTCATATGGGTCAGTCTGGGGCCTTCAATGTTTAACGCTCATCCAGGGAGAAATGGTTGGGCCTGTGGAACATGGAGAAAAATTAACCTAAAGCCAAGGAATTCCGAGTTCCTCTTAGAGCCAAGGAGCACCCAGATCATTGGTTGAGTCAAATTACCCACAAAACCGACAAGGCATAAATTAGCTATGCATTTTGAACAAATTCTTCCACACCCGTCATACAGAGCCCCTAGCAGGAGAGATCTTTTCTCCAAACATAGAGATCCAAGATATACAAAGATATTTAGACCATATTATGCACATCAAATATTTAATCTTCCTTAAGACAATTCGCTTTGCTTTTAGCTTTTCACTAAACGTTCAGCCAACAAAGAAAAAAGAAAGAAATGAAGTTGCTTTGGGAATGAAGCAAGGCCAGTATCAGGATTGACCAGAGGTTTAAAAAGGCACTCTGTCTCAATTCTTTTCCTTCCTCTGCATCCTATTCCTCCCCCCCATCCTCCCCAATCCTGAGCCCTGGAAGGACTGGTTCACCTAAAAGCCTCAGCTTTGGCCTTTCATGGAAGCTTCCTGTTCTAACTCTACCCTTCTTGTCCCTCACCCTTATTATCCAAACTCCCTTTAGGCCTCCTCCAGGAAATGGAGACTAACCAAACATTCATACAGAGGTGTGAGCGATGCTGTTACTGACATCTGTTCAGTTCTGACAGAGATCTGACTCAGGTTCTTTTACTTTTGCTGTGGCCAGTGACAGGAAACACACACACACACACACACACACACACACGCACGCACGCACGCACGCACACACACACGAGCATACTTGGAGATTAACCCACACTCTCAGTTGATCATGACCTCTCATCACCTTTGATCCAGAAGGTAGGAAAGAGAGATTCTGTCCTGGAGCGAGTGTGTGCCCCAGCCAGTCTCCCTTGGAGCATTCTGCAGGAGCTGAGAGGGACCTGCTTCCACAGCCTGTCAGTCTAATAAGCTTAAGAATTAACATTATTGCACACAACTACTCTGTGAGGTAGTATTATTCTCCCCTCATTTCAAAAGTGGAAATGGAAGCAGAGAGAATGTAGATGACTTGTCCAAGTCACACATCTGAGAAGTGGATTTGGATCCATATAGCCTAGTGCCATACTTGTCTCCTTAAGCCAGTCTACACCATGCTGCCTCTCTTAGATGCTACACCATGCTGCCTCTCTTAGATGCTTGCTTGTGTTCTTCCACCTGAGGGAAGGACAGCCCATCCCTCAGCAGTGAGAGGTGGTGGGTCACCCGCCCCAAAGGGGAGGTGCAAGCTTTCTTTTAAGGGCTGGATGGAGCTCCTGTGCTTATCAGCTCCATCAGATTTGCCCAGCTGGCTCAATTCTTCATTTCATTCTACCTAATCCATCACACTCATTCTAAGTTCAAACTGACCCTTCCATTATAAACAAATAACAATAAAGTTTGCATTTCTAAAGTAAAGGCCATTTTGGTGCAGGGAAACAGGATGACTTCGCACATTTTACTGCCACCTGCTGGGAAATTGTGGCAACGACAACACAAATCCATGAAGCACACAGTGCCCCCTGGAGTTGTGCAATGCACAGTGTTTACAACTGCAGGCAGCAGCCCTGCCTAATGTAGCCAATAGTCTGGGGATAAAGGGAGTCTTAGTATATGAGGCATACAAAACAAGCCCCGAGAGATTTTCCTAGTTTTCTCTCTCACTACCCTGACTGATAACTAATTCCATGGATCTGCATGTCAAAACGGAAGCTTGTCAACCTAAATAAATCTCTACTTAGTGGAATCTAAAGCACGGCGACAAGAGTTTGGGAAGAATTTCATGCAGAGTGAAATTCTTTGGTTGGTGATGTCTTTAAAAAGTCCCTTCACAGCATAATGAGAATATGTTTCTACAAACATTTGCAATTAAAGCACCTTTGTATAAAATATCTCATTGGAATTACTTAATTCTGAAAGGTGTTATAATTGTCTCCATTTTAAAGATGAGAGAAGGACCACAGAGGAGGTTGTTTAGTGCCTTTTGTGTGCCTGACACTGTGTTAAGGGCTTGATAGTTGTTTTCTTACTTAGTCTTCACAGGGATCCTGAGAGTTAGGTAATATCCTCCTGTTTCAGAGGAAGGAACCAAGGCTGAGACTCTGAATGTTTTACCCAAGGACACTCTGCTGGGAAGAGTCGGAGTAGGGACTTGAACCCAGAGATCTGGTGCTAAGCCTGAGCTCTTTTCAGTATGTGTATCATTTAGGCAAACCCAGGGCCCCAGTCCTAAAGCTGGCTCCAGCTGAGGTGGGGGCAAAGACCAACATTTATTGAGCCCTTTCTATACCAGGGACTTTATACATGTTGTCTTAAATGCTCTTCACAACACCCTTTAAGGTAGGTATTCTCTCTCCTGCATTGTCTATAAGAAAACTAGAAGTGGTAGTCAGGATTTAAACCCAAGTCTTGCAGCCCCAAAGCTTGTGTTCTTTCCATGACAGGGGTCCTGCAGGCAAATGTCCTGGCACCTCCTAGAGCTGCCTGCGTGGGGAGCTCTTACATGACTCATGTGCACCTTCAGGGAGACAGATTACTCCCTGCCTATTCCATCCCTTTCTCCTCCTCCCTCACAGAGCTAACAACTCAACCCTGCCTTCCTTCCATACAGGTGAGCATCTCCACTGTGGGCTACGGAGACATGTACCCAGAGACCCACCTGGGCAGGCTTTTTGCCTTCCTCTGCATTGCTTTTGGGATTATCCTCAACGGGATGCCAATCTCCATTCTCTACAACAAGTTCTCCGATTACTACAGCAAGCTCAAGGCTTATGAGTACACTGCCATACGAAGGGAAAGGGGAAAGGTGGACTTCGTGCAGCGAGCCAGAAAAAAGATGGCTGAGTGCTTGGCTGAAAGCAACCCACAGCCCACCCCAAGGCAAGAGAATTAATGTTCCAGAGGCCATGTGGCTGGTTGATCCTGCGACCTTCAAGGCTTCCTTCCGCCTTCTTTTTTTTAGCATCAGGATTGCCCGTGAAAGGACACGTGAGGCAGACATACACAAAGGGCATTCATTTCACAGAGTTCTACCTCATGAATGTTTGTTTGAACCCAGACTCAGCCTCATATTGTGTTGTGTGAGAGTCTGATCATCCCAATGACATTGATATGAGAACTCCTTGGGAGGAGTGACATCTTAGCTTCCTCTTGTAGCTTCTCATGGCTTCTCAATAAATATTTTTGCACTTGAGTTGACTTGAGAAGAATTTCCTTACATTGAAGAAAGGAAATCCTTGATTTTCCAGAGAGAGGGAATGTTGCCTCAGAACTATATGAGTCCTGGCGTTAGACCAATCTCAGTCGGAAGCCCGGATCTACCAGCTGTAGGATTTGGGACAAGTTACTTTAACTGTCTGAGCCTCAGTTTCTTCAACTGTAAAGTGTAGGCAATAAGAAACCACCTTGTAATATGAGCATGGAGAATGAAGGTAATATTTGTAAATGCTCAATAAATGGAAGCTGTTAAAACTGTTTGAGTTAGGGTACTGTCTAGTAGATTCTCTAGACCGATGGTTCGCAATCCAGGGAGATTTGGTCATTGTCCACCCCCTACCCCCTGGAAACTTGGCATTTTCTAGAGATGCTTTTGGCTGTCACCATTGTGAGAAAGGATGAGGGAGCTATGGCATCTAGTAGGCAGAGACCTGGGATGTTGCTAAATATGGACAGGACAGCCCCATAGCAAAGAATTATCTGACCCAACATATCAACAGAGAAACCCTGGTCTGCGGTTAACATGAGAGCCCCCAGACTCGACCTGTGAAACAGGCTAAAGTGTGCTCATCGCTTCTCCCTTGATAGGAGCCCCCACATGTCCTCACCTCTCTAGGCCTCCTTTCCCTCACCTTTCAACAAACAAACCAAAAAACTCTGCCTTTGGGGGGACTATTCTGGGCCGAGCACTGAACATAGTGAATTAAGTCGATGTGGCCCTCTCCTCTGGGCTCTGTCTGTGGGTCAGAAAACCAGCTCCCATAGGGAGTTAGTTCTTTCTCTCCCTGCCCCATTTCCTCCTAATTTCTTCCTTTTTCCATAGGACTCCTGGGAATTGAAGCCCTGGGAATTAAAGGTGTGTTTGAACTGAGCAAACAGAGATTGGCCCAATGATGAGAAGTTTTGCTATGCTGACCATCCAGTGTGTCTTAGGGCATGACTGGACCGATCATGCTCGTGTCGTAAAAACAATCATTTTGTGTGTTCTTACAATTACAGGCACAAATACAGGTTGTATTTTATAACATATGCCCTCATTTTACCCTTGATATATCCCTAAATTCAGTATTACAGTAGGTCCTCGGGTTACGTCGGAGATCCGTTCCTATGCGATTTTCCCTGTAAGTCAGAACCCACCTACATAAGCACCTACGTCACTCACATAGAGCACATACACAGCAGTAATTAAGTGAAACAATAAAAAAATTTAAAAGAAAGATAATTCCTGACCTTGTGGTAAATAAATAATAAAAAACATAAAGCAAATATGTACATATGTCAAAATGACGGACCTTTTTTTTAAAAATAAATAAATGGGAGATGGCGATGTAACCACGAAATGACATACATCGAGTCCGACATAACCCGAGGACTGCCTGTACCTTGTTTTTTATTCAAGAATAAACAATTTTTTCTTTTTTTTATTGAGGAAGAAACAGAAGCTCAGAGAGGTTAAGTAATTCAGCCAAGTTGGCACAGTCAGTAAATAGGGAGACTGAGCTTCCAACCTGGTCTGTCTGATCCCTAAGGCCCTTCCCCGAAGTCTAAACGTGTGGTTCACAAACTGCATCAGCATCATCTGGGGGGCTTATTAAACACAGATTACGGAGCCCACCCCCAGGGTCTCTGATTCAGTAGGTTGGGGTGATACCCGAGGATTTGTATTTCTACCAGCTACGAGGTTATGCTGATGCTGCTGGTCCAGGGACCACATCCTGAGAACCATGGTCTAAATCACTTCCCTTTGAATGCAAAACCAGGATGCAGCTGGAAAAACCTAGGCCAGGTTTCCCTCCCCTTTACTCCCAAGTGCCCTTAGCCTCATCACAACTGACCTGGCATCTGAAGGGTGGACAGAAACCCCACTATTTATTGGAAGGTCGCTAGTTAAAATACAGAATGCACAAGTAAATTTGAATTCCAGGTAAGTCAATAATGTTTAGAAGTATGTCCCAAGAATTGCATGGTATATACTTCCACTAAAAAAATTATCTCCTGCTTATCTGCAATTCAAATTTAAGTGGGCACCCTCTGTTCCCATTTGCTTCTGGGAGACAAAGCTTCCTCATATGGATGGAAATTACGCCCCCCCCCCCAAATCCTAAAACCCCACCTAAACAGCAGGACCCTCCACCAAAGGGACTTCTCTCCCTCTTGCCAAGTAAGAGGGAGGAATTTGAATGAGGCTCCTTGCCAGAAGGAACCATGGAAACGGAGTTACAACAGGCAGGAGGTCGGAACACAGTTTATGTAACCACCTGCCATGCTCAGGGCAGCAGTTGCCCCTTAAGGACACAGGGAACAGGAAGGACTGGTGTTCATCACCCGGACCCCTGCTGGAGGCCCTGAGAGAATGACCCCAAGGAGCCCTGTAGAGGCAGCTCCCTGAGAGAGAGGGGGGTTGGGGGTGCAGGAGGTCTTGGTGAGGAAGATGAACTTTTGCAGGTCCCTGGGAGGGGATCCGGTAAATGACAGCAGCCCCCACCTCCCAACCTCACTAGCCACATCTGTTAAAACAGCTGTGCTCTGCCTCCCAAGAGAATGAGACTGACAGACAGAAGGGGATGAAAACAAAACAAAACAAAACAAAAAACCAACATTCCATGAGCCCCACTGTGCGCCAGGCACAGAATCAGCATCACTTAATCCTTCAACAGCCCTATGAAGTAGGTTCCAAGGTGATCACTTACAGAGGCTTAGCCACATTGAACTTGACATGATTTTTGGATCTGGATTTGAAACCTGGCTCTGCTATGTATTGTGATGTTGAAGCATGTGAAACTGCCATTTTCATAAAAAAACAACTGAGTATTGGCAATGTCATACAGTGCAACTTAATATTGTGTGGTCCCTTAATTTCTTTAAGCCTGTTTCTGCATCCTTAAAATGGAGATAAAACCCTTAGCATACTGTTCAGCTCATGTTAAAGAACTAAATCATTGTGAGCTGCAATTATCATCATGACTATTTTGCTGGCTGCACAGAGTCATCTGTCATCAAGGAGGGGATTCTGCGGATGAAGACAGCTTTTGAGTCCTGTGGCCAGCCCCCTAGCCCTCCAGGGCTGTGCACAAGGATCCTGGCCAGTCTGCCCAAGAGAACTTCCTGTGGTGATGGAAACGTGATGCCATATCTAATACAACATAACCATGTGTGACTATTGAGCACTGGAAATGTGGCTGGTGTGATTCAGGAACTAAATCTTTTATTGTATTTCATGTTAATGCATTTCATTAAAATTTAAATGGCCACATGTGGCTCCAGGCTGCCATGTTGGGCAATGCAGGTATAGATAGGCCTTTTATCTGCCTTCATGGAGGCATCTGCTCTGAGGTCCGGGGGTGGGGGGTGGAGGGTGGGGGGGTTTTAAAATTCAAGAAAAACATTAGATTATCACTCAAGAAAATATTCACAAAAGCTCCAAATTCCTCCTCCCAGGCTGATGCCTGGCCCTCAACTCAAGATGAATGTGGTTCCCTACACCTCAATGCTCCCTCTTTCCTCCCTGCTCAACTCTGATGTGGCATCTTTAAAGCTTACGTGATTCTCCATATGTATCCCACTGTATACGTCTGTTCATGTGTGCTGGGCCTTCTCCATGTGTCTATCTAGAACCATTATTCACCCCACTCTGCCCTGCTGCATGGTCCAAGAGGTCTGCCTTCCATGTGTCCCTCACCCTCTGGCTGTCAGCAGATGGGAGGAGAGACCATTCTGCGTATTAACTCCCCACCTCTCTCTGTGTGGCAGGAGTCTGGGTAGCTGCTAAGTTCCCATAGCCAGGGCTCGGTTGAGCAGCCTTCTGGATCAGCCACAGCACTCACAGGTTCCAGTAACACCTCCCCCTGCTGTCATTCCTTCAGGCTGTGAGTGGTAACGGTCTCTTGCTTTGCTAGTCACCGATGGTCTCACTGCCCCTTGTTGGTTCCCTTAACCCTGACCATAGCTCTGGAAATAGGATCTCTATTAAAATCTCTTCAAATAACCCCTTTGCATATACCATCTATTTCCCACTGGGATCCTGATTAGTACATCTTGTCTGCCTTATGAAAAAGACATTGCTCGTATTCCCCACATCGCCACTGAAAAGATGAGGCACATGTATCTGAAGGTTCATGCCTCCCCAACACATCACCCCAAACTGAGAAATACAGGCCTTGGATTTCCAGACCAGGAGGCATATTCAGCTCACAGATGGTTGGTAGGGCAGCAATGATTGGCACCCTTAAGTGCCAATAAATGATTCATTCTTCCTGTCAAAGTCTCTGCTCTTTTTAGGAGCAGTTTTCAATGACTCAATCTGTTGAGTTCCCTTCTGCAGCCCATCCTACACATACTAATGAATTTTCATGACTACATTGTGGAACAATATGCATAAAATGAGCTGGAATATATGCACCTAGGGACAGAAAGTGCCCTCAGAGAACATTAAAAAATAAACCCACCTTGGCCAGTCTTCTACCTTCACTCAGGTAAGGTTTTATTAACCTTGTTTTGTAAGTGATATAACTGACACCCAGAGAAGTTAAGAAATGTGCCCAGAGATGACAAACATCTGTTTTCCATGCTGCCACCCCCTTCCTATGTCCAGAGCGGACATTCTTAACCACATTACTCTCTCCCATTGGCGAGCCTTCTCATTGCCTTTCCCTAGGAGCCAATGCAAAGCTGTCAGAG